ATATATACTGTTTCTCCTTGAGACTATCTCTATTATTCATATCGTGTGATGCATGACTTGCCAACTGATCAGTGGTAACTGCCCGACTGGCCTTAGCTCGGTGGTATACGTAAAAATGCCTAACTGGTCGTAGCTCGGTGGTAAATGAATATACATGACTGCCCAACCGGTGGTAAATAATTATACATAAGTGTCTAACCGGTGGTAATTGTCCGACCGGCCGTAGCACGATGGTAAATACATGAAGATGCATGTATCACTATATTATAAACATTAACATCTTTATAAAATATCTCAACCACAAATATGTTGTCAATATCCACCACCCATTAGAATCACAATCAAACACTAACTTCAAAAGGCAAGTTCTCCTTTTCCATAATATTTCAATTTAATACTTTTTGGCTAATTGTCACAGCTTCAGTTAAAAATAGTATATTTTTTTTAATATTAGAAAATTCAAGATTATCTTTATTCATTATAAGCTTCACCCTTTTCTTTTTATAGATAATTAGTTCAGGAGATATATCTTCTTTCCTTAAGTGAATTGCTTATGAAAGTCATTGAAAGGCAAAATATTATTGCAAGAACATATTACTAGCTGAAACTATCTTTGGAAACCAACAGATAAACAATAATAGCTGAAGACTATTCTTCTTGCGGACATAGTATAGCAGTTGACAAACACTTTCTTGTATTTTAACATCTTCTGTTAGAACAAATTAGTTGTGATTGTAGGTGCATATGTCACTTATATTATGAACATTAATATCTTTATCATATACCTCAATAGAGAACTATATACGTACTTAGACATGCTTGAATATTACTTTACGGGAATGAATAACATGGACATCCTTAACTGCTAGGAGTGGAACCACTTATGGAATATCATTGCGCTTACGTATCGTCACTTGGATCATCCAAAAAAAGAAGAACTAGCCTTAACATACCTGAGCCGATTCTCTTGATAATCCCTCTAACACATATCTTTGCGAAAAATATGTAACGACGGATCAAATTTGCTGCTTTCACACTTGAGAATGCTGGAATTTTCCAAGTCGAATGCAATAAATAATATTTGCCAAATTTCAAGGATGAAAATGGATTTTTATTCCAAAAGGAAATTAGCAAACAAAATTTGGAGACGGAAGTACCCTTAACTTTGCTGGAAAATTGGCTCTTTGATGATTCTAATGTACAAACACAAGAAGAGCTAATGGGAATTGGAATAAGCATGGAATGGCTTTGAGTAGAACTGCCGATTTGTATACTAACGTTTTCTTGGGCTGAAACTTTCTAAGAGATTACAAAATGATTTTTTAATTCTTACCAAATGCATGAGTTTGTGACTTACATATTAATGAATATATGACTCTTCCTTTTTAAAATGTGACTCACGTACTTAATGTTTTGTCACATAACAATATGACTTTAGGAGTCATCTTACTTAATCTTATATGCTTGCCACGTAAATCTTTATCCCAAATATTTTAATTTCCTAGTTAATCTTACCATCAAAATCATTAAGCAGCCCAATTATCCACATAATTAAGAATTATCTCAACTTACTTAAAATACTACTCATTTTTAATACACATTATATAACATACTATAACATATAAAATAAATACATACACTATTATTTCATTAAAATATCCATGTATATATATATATATATATATATATATATATACTCTAAACTTACAATTTTTCTAATCTCATATAAAGAGTAAAAACATTTGTACGCTTAATTCTTAAAATAATAAAAAGATAACCTTCTTTTCTTATAAGAAAATAATTTTTACATTTGCAATTAAAAAAATCTCATAAACTTTCTCATATTATGTGTATAATTTAAAACATATTCGAAAGTAGTAATAAAAATAACTATATAAAATCATATTTTTCAAACTTTTCTTTTTTTCTTTACCAAAAACGTTTCACTCAAAATATCATATCAAATATATATGACACGATATCAAGGTTGTTAAACTTACGGGGTGTAACAGTATCCATCTCCACAGTAACACCCCAAATGCAACATCAAATCTCAGAACCCACAAGAACCTGGCATTGTGATGCACTCTCGTAACCCAATGAGAGAGAGAAAAAGTTTCCCATGTATCATTCCTCACTCTTCCAGGCACACACATAGCCAGCCTGACCTAATGAAATACAACTAGGATATCCTTGTCACTATTTGTCACTCATGTCATGTATCACAACCTCCAATTTCCCAATACAGAAGCTATAGCAGTGAAATAAAGTTGACACAACTCTCATCTCAGATATATATAGCACCACAAAGAGGTAGTTATAGTTCACAATCCCAATTAACACTGAGAATCCATGAGACACTACAAAAAAATGCTAAATTTGCAGAGGTTTTATTGCGACGGTTACCATAACCTCCGTAATCTATATCAAATTGTGGGGGTTTATTTACCCCACAAATATGTTTATATTTGTGGCGGTCGATAATCTCCACAACCATTAAAAAATAGCGCCGACTAACCCAGTATTTCCCTGGTTTTTAATCCTTTCCCTCTCATTTTTTCCCAAACCCCTTTTTCATTTTCGCTTTTTTCATTTTCAGAAACCCTCGCCCACTCTCACTTAATCAAAACCCATAGAAATATTCCATTTCTTCTTCACTTAATCAAAACTGCCACTGCAAATCTCTTTTCCTTCACTTAATCTCTTTCATTTCTTCTTCATTTCCTCCGATTTCAAGCCCGTGTAGTTGCAAAATTCCAAATACAATAGTTCTCTGCTTTTCTTCAGCGCCTCCTCTATTGCAAAGTGAAAGAGATATGAAAAAAAATTTCAGATCTATCAATCAATTAGATGTAAGTTTATTTGATTTTGCTCTTTCCTACAAATTCCTCTTCTATTTCGCTATGATTTTGCCTTTTTGTCTTTCTTTCTTCACATGTGGGTTTTAAGTTTATTATCTCTGTTAATTTGTAGAATCGGTGTATTTTGAAGAAATTTGGTAGAATCGTTGTATTTTGAATCGGCAGAAATTTTGTAGAATCGGTGTATTTCGAAGAAGGATATAACACTCTTTGTTGAAATCGAGATGTAAGTCCTCTTTCTCTTTTCACATTAGGTTCTAAAATTTAGATTTTTTGTGTATTTTGTAGGTTAATTTATGTAACTTGTTTGAGTTAGAAGTGTTTGCAACATAGTATCTTATTTGTTTATTTTCTATGATGATTTAACCTCGGCTGAATGTAGATTGATACATCAGCATCTGAAGGTCCACTCAGAGTTAGTCAAAACTGTACACCATAAAGAGTTATTCCGTTGAATTTAAACACGTAACTATTATAAGTTTTTATGCCATCCACTAACAAATAGTGTATGTGTATGACTGTGTAGTGATATTTCTTGTACGTAGATTTTCCCATTATTAATAAAATTATTTACCATACTAAAAAAGAAGTGAAAGTGTAACTTTTCAAGTTCTGATAGAATTTAACTCAATGCTTCCTCTTGGATATTTACTTCCGTGTCTTTGTGTTCCTTATTTCTTTAAATGGAGCTCTCATCTTTTTCTAGTTTAGAAGAAATAAATGTGAAGGTATGCTGATAAGACTATGCCTCTGTAGCTGAGAGCAGTGAATCTCTATGGGGTTTCCACAGCTGCTGAATCACTAAACAAATCTTTGCCCAAGTTAGATGAGAATGTAAGAAACGTGTATTTTGTTGTTATCTCTGTTTCATTAGGCCATTATCAATGCATATAAGATCAAGATATAGTGCAAGTTTTAACCTTATCTCAGGGCCTTCTGGCAAAATACAACACCTGCCTCTTATCATAAACCCACATCAGCTATACATTTTAATATTAAAATCTAGACTTGTTTTCACATGCCTGTACTTACCACAGGGAATGCTGCAAATCTCATCAGAGAGATGTGCCATAGAAGCATATCAAAGCTACAAGTGGCCTAATTTCAGTGAAAAGGAGGCTCAGAAGGGTAATCGTCTGTGGCAACAAAGGTACATGTCATGATTTAGTTGATTGTTTGTGTTTGTACTGTAAAACATGTATGCTCTCCATGGTTGTGGACTTGCAATGTTTCTTGAAATTTGTTTTTTGCATGTGCAAGTAGTGTCAAGATCCCAGTGGATTGCTTCTACGTTTGTTTAGTCATTTGAAATTTCAGTGTTCTGTTTTCCATGCCCCAATATCTTATATAATTAGTTATGGCTTCTGAAAACGCAGACTTCCATTGTTTTGCAACTGGCTATTTTAAAAGGTATTACTTCAAAATCTTGGATGAAACACTTTTATATCATGGCTTAATTTGTTAATTATACTCTCTCTCTTTCTCCCTTCGCTTTCCTACTTCATTTTCTCTCTCTCTATCATACACAGTACATTGACACTACAATTGACTCTCTTACTGATGAATCAGAATATAGCATATCGGAGTGGTTTTACTTCTTTAGGGGTCTGGTTTGATGAATCAGGTACTAGCTAACTGTGATGAATTTTCAACAATATACTGATTTGCATCTGATGCTTTGTGCTGGTGCAAAATGTTAGTTGGTTCATTGTTTGAGTCTCAACTCTCAAGCTACTGTTACTTCATATGAACTGAGTATATTCCTTGTTAATTTGCTTTGTTTTTCCTTTTATCTTGCTAGATGTGATTTAGATTATTTTTCCTGTTTATGAGTGATGTGAATATACTTTATACACTTTTCTTGTTGTCTTACATTACTAATTTATTCTAATCTAAGGAAGTCATTGTTGTGTTCTTGTTAATTCAAGATGAATATGAAATCTTGATACATTGATTGTTCTGTATTGGGATTTAATGGCTGCCGGAGTTATTCTATTTTGACGGTAACTTAGATTGACCAAGGAGGTAAGTTTGACACCCAAGCCAGCATTGGTGCTATAATAGGTTATTCAGGGGCCACAATATGTGTGTTCCGAGCTAATATAAGCAGAGAGTAATTATTCAGTTGTAATGGTATATAGCGAGTAATTATTTTGTTGTAATGGTCTGTAGGTGACCCCATTATATCAAATACTTACTAAACAAAGAGACTGAATAGCATGCCTAGTCAAGTATATTCCATTAAGCTTTTAAATGTCTGATGATAGTATTAGCTATTTTCTGATTTTAGGTCGGCTAATTTGTTACTTTACTGTAAGCTTAATTTTATGAAGTGTGAAATCTGTACTATATGTCCTTTGCTGCAAGTTGCTAGAGATAAACTTCATTCTTCAAGACGTGGACAAATTTTTACTCTTGATCGCTCGTGGGATTTTACTGGGTTGTTGTTGTTGTAGTTGTTAATTTGTTAATTATATTCTCTTTTGATTTTGTTGTAGCCAAGTGATGCGGCTAGCGGATCCATTTCACCCATGGATATAAGAAGATCATCCGGTGGAAGTAATCCTAACGACAACTATTGAAGTTGCTTGCAAATGTATTAGATAATTAAGTATCGTACTCTATTGAATGGTCATAGTAGATCTTTTGTCCATAATGGTTGGAGTGGATTTTCTATTTAAAGAAATTGCGTAGTTTATTAATATATTGATGTTTTGTGTTTAATGGTTGAAGTAGTTGTGTTTAAAGCAAATTTTTGAGACTAATGATAATTTAATTTAATGTATTGTGTGGTTTATTAATATATTGATGTTACTTGATTCTAGTAAGCAATTTATATAATTTGTTGATGCTTCATTATATTAATATATTTGAAATTGGAACAGTTAAGGAGTAACATTATATTGCATGAAAAAAATATTTAATGAATAACGGAGTTGATAATTGCTACTATTTAACCTATAATAATATTGTGTTATAATTGTGGGGGTTAAATAAAGAAATTGCGGGGGTTTAGACCTCTGCTATTTTTTAATAAGTGATAGCCAAACTATCAAATTGCGGAGGTTATACCACTGTCAAATACCCGCCGCTATATGATAACGGCGGTCTGTCAAAAAACCCCCGCAAATTGATTGCGGCGAACATTATTGCGGGAGTTTTGGAAACAGCCGTAAAAGTAAGAAACCGCCGCAATATGTAAATAAAACCTCTACAAATTCAGCGTTTTTCTGTAGTGAGAACCTGAGGGCAATGCCATACTATTCCACTCGCAAGACTGAGAACATTATTTCCAAGGCCTACAACAGTCCTCCCTCATAGAATAACTCAAAGAATCATTACCCCACCACATTTGGCCTCCACCACTTCTCATGGTTATGGTTGACAGAGACAAGCTAAGGGGAGCATACCTTTTTGTCCAAATGATCATCATGAAATACTACCCCAGCAATAGAAAAATGAATGGTTGTTCAGATGATAAGGCCACCATATGAGCAATTCAAATCAACAGCAATGGATAGTCAAATTTACACTAATCTCTTAGTTATTCGATGAAAGTACAAAGGACACACTTATAGCATTGCCTCCAAGGTATGGTATTAGCACCCGCAGTGCTCAGTCTATTGGAGGTCTATCAATACTATAAAGAGTGGTGGCTTATGAAGAACCCATATAACCCAAAAAGAAAGAGAAAATGTTTCCCATATACCAGTCCTAACTCTTCCATGAACGCACATAGCTAGCCTTACCCGATTAAATACAACTAGGATATCCTTATCACTGTTTATCAATCATGCTATGCTAATTAATTGATAGTATCACAACCTCCATATACCCAACACAAAAGCTATAGCAGTGAATTAAACTTGAGACAACCCTTATCTCAGAACTATAGAGCACCACAAACTTGCAGTTATAGTTCACAATCCCAATCAACACTCAGAATCCATAAGAACTTGAGAGCAATGCCTTACTATTCCACTCACAAGACTGAGGACATTATTGCCCAAAGCCTACAATAGTCCTCCCTAAATGAAAAATACAAAGAATTATTACCCCTCCATATTTGGCCTTTACCACTTCTCATGGTTATGGTTGACTGAGATAAGCTAAGGGGAGCATACCTTTTTGTCCAAATGAACATCATGAAATAATACCCCAGCAACAGGAACATGAATGGTGGTTCAGATGATAAGTCCACCATAAAAGCAATGCAAATCAACAGTAATGAATAGTCTGTTTTACACTAATTTGTTTGTTATTCTGTGCAAATACAAAGGACACACTCATAGTGTTGCCTCCAAGGTATAGTATTAGCACGCGCAGTACTTAATCTATTGGGGCTGTATCAATACTATAAAGAGTTGTGGCTTATGAAGAACCCATATCTAACAACCAATACAGAACATAGAAGATTTCATACAAATAATTAATAGCTCAATACCCTAATATCACTATACCATCAACAATATCTCTCAACAACTCTACTTCATTTCAACAATAATACAAATTCATTAAGATATCCACCCCCACAGTCAACACCCCAAATGTAACACCAAATCTCAGAACCCACAAGAACCTGGGATTTGTGATACACTCCCATAACCCAAGGACGGAGGGAGAGAGAGAGAGAGAGAGTTTCCCATATATTATTCCTCACTCTTCCATGCACACACATAACCAGCTTTACCTGATGAAATACAGTTGGGATATCCTTGTCATTATTTATCACCCATGCAATGCTAACCAATTGGTAGTATCACAACCTTCGATTGCCCAACACAGAAGCTATAACAGTGAATTAAACTTGACACAACCCTCATCTCAGAATTATGGAGCACCACAAACTTGTAGTTATAGTTCATTATCCCAATCAACACTCTAAATCCATAAGAACCTGAGAGCAATGCCATACTATTCTACTCACAGGACTGAGGGCATTATTTCCTAAGCCTACAATAGTCCTCCCTAAATGAGTGCAGCACATCAACTCTCGGAATCCACAAGGACTTGAGAAAAATGCCTTACTCATTCTCCTCTTCCGGGGAGAAGGGCAATGGTCCTCCTTTACTACTAACTTATTTGCTGAATTTTGTTGGTACAACTGACAGGTCTAGATCATTGATGAAATCCCAAGGTATGGTATCAGCATCCCAGATGCTCAGTCTGTTGGAAGTACATCAATAATCTAGGACCCGTTTCAAAGATCATGCCAATTTAGCACACAGATCACACTCAAACATTGATGATAGGGACTCGTGGGAACATGCTTAAGAGTTCAAACATATATGACCATTATGTTATATCATCAAGCAGCCTCCAGGTCATCATCACTGCATATTCTAACTGAAAACATCAGACTTATTCCCTGTCATCAACAGCATACCATTATCTATCCCAATGGGTCTGGACATAATATTGAAGCATTTTCTCGAACACCAAAGTGCCTACAAAACAGGCAGCTCATGGACATCCAAATGGCTACACAACAGTGCTCCATCTCTTTTTTCAAGGGCATCACATACAGACAGTTCATTGCCCACCCCTCATCAATCACTCTTCTACATCTCTTCACATTGACTTTTAAAGCTATGATGAAGACAACTTTATTGTGTTACAGAACTACTCTCCACTCATGGTTGTATGGTATTGTTTTCTCTATAAATGGAAGGATTCCTTCCATCATTTTTTGCATAGTTGACCTTGTTTTCTTCGGTTTTTGGGGTCCATTTGCTAATCCATTATGGAAAGGCATATGGCACCATTTTATAGGTCTAACTTCACACCTTGTACAGGATTCAGTTAATTGTCACTTCTTGACAGACAATTGGATATCCACCATAATCCTGGAGCTAGGTTTTGTGTCCTCCTTTGAGGCTTTCCCGGAAACAGCCTCTCTACCCCTCCGGGTAGGGGTAGGGGTAAGGTCTTCGTACACTCTACCCTCCCCAGACCTTGCCAGTAGGATTATTACCCTCTCCAGACCTTGCTAGTGGGATTATTATTGGGTTATATATATATATATNTCTTTTTCTTAGTAGCAGTACCATTGTTGTTTGAACCTCCAAGTAAAGCTGCATAATCCAGAGAATTACCTTCTGCTGGAGCATTTTAGTGACTGGAGTAGCTCCAATTTGGGAAGGGCAAATTTGGTTTGTAGTTATATTTGGATGTATTATGGAGGAAAATTAGAGAGAAGGTGGACTCTCTCTCTCTTCGCTTGCTTTGTTCGTTTCAGGCTTTCAACGATGTTGTCTTGTGAATTGAATTTGGTGACATAACCCAACCTGCTTAAACTTGAACGAATTACTGCCGAAAAATGGGTTGATTTTTGTCATCTCTAATTTAGATGAATGGCATGTTAACTAACATATCTATCATTTATCACGGTTGCATATGTTCCCATGCATGTGACGCAATCCTCTCTCCTAGTCCGGTGCTCAAAAGTTCAAAAAAATGAAGGAATCTTTTGTTTTTCTAAAATATTATCATATCTCAATCTGTAAGTTTTCCCGCTGACAAATTAATAAGTTGAAGGACCATAATTACTTTAACAATGATTCGCTTCACACATAACTTATAATATTTCAATTAATTTCCACTCAATATATATCAACAAGACCATTTCTAAATGAGCCTTGGTTATTTATCCAGATTTTTACGGAATGGAGGCGAATATGAGCAAGATGGTATGTTTAAATGGGAGCAATTATAATATTTGGAGAAGCAAGATGAAAGATTTGTTGTTCGTGAAGAGGATGCATCTACCCGTTTTTGCAGCTCATAAACCCGAGATTATAATTGATGAAGATTGGGATTTCGAGCACCAACAAGTATGTGGATATATACGACAATGGGTTTAAGATAATGTTCGCAATCATATTGTGAATAAGACACATGCGAGATCATTGTGGGAAAAGCTAGGGACTCTTTATGCTTAAAAAACTGGGAACAACAAATTGTTTCTGCTAAAGCAATTGATGAGCTTTAAGTACAAGGAAGGCAGCCCTATCCTTGATTACATAAATAATTTTCAGGGCATCCTTGTTCAGCTGTCTGGAATGGGAGTTAATTTTGATGATGAGATACAAGGACTTTGGCTTCTTAATACTCTGTCGGTCTCTTGGGAAACTCTTCGTGTTTCTTTGACAAATTGAGCTTCTGGAGGTAAGGTGACCATGAAATATGCCAAGAGTGGTGTGTTGAACGAAGAAGTAAGGAGAAAATCTCAGGGTTTGTCCTCACAAGTAGATATCTTGGTTACAGAAGACCAGGGGAGAGATAGAACAAAAGGTTCGAGGAATAGATGTAAAAGTAGAAGTAAGTCAAGGTCCACATACCATAATATTACATGCAACCATTGTGGCAAGAAAGGACATAGCAAAAGGTTTTGCCACAAGTTGAAGCAAGACATTAGAGAAGGAAAGAAAGTTAAAAATAACGAGAACAATGTTGTTGCTATTGTTCAAGATGACCTTCTTTTTGCTTATGATGAAAACTTCATCAATTTGGTATCCCATGAGACGAGCTGGATAGTAGATTCTGGAGCTACCTCACATGTCACGCCAAGAAAAGACTTTTTCTCATCTTATACTCATGTTGATTCTAGAGAATTAAACATGAGCAATGCAGTGAAGTTAAGGTGTTTAGTGTTGGCATAATTTGTTTGAAAACTAATAATGGTTCAACGTTAGTTCTTCAAGATGTCAAGCATGCTCCAGAATTTCCTTTCAATTTGATCTCCGCATGAAGATTAGACGGTGAAGGTTACCATAATTCCCTCTT